TCCTTTTTTCTTTCCCCTTTTTTGCGCTCTGATTCACAATGTGACAATATATATATTTGTTCCCTCCGATTCACAGTGTGACAATATATGTTCCCTTCCTCTCTTCTTTGCCTCTTTGCCCTTTGGCTGTGTGCAAGTGGGTCGATATGACACACGGGGTTGGGGGTAGCCGCCGCTCAACCTACATCCACGTGGGCGGCCTTGTACGCAAAAGAGGTTCTTCCTGAACAGGGGGAGTAAGGAAGAAGATAAAAACACGAATTCATTTTTTCTTTGTTTTTTTCGGTTTTGCGCTCTGATTCACAATGTGACAATATATATAGTGTCACATGATATCAGAGCGCCTAAGCGAAAAAACCAAAAAAAACAAAAAAATCTTAAATTCGTTTTTAATCTTCTTCCTTACAACTCCCCCTGTTCAGAACCTCTTGCGTACAAGGCCGCCCACGTGGATGTAGGTTGAGCGGCGGCTGCCCCCACCCCCGTGTGTCATATAGACCCACTTGCACACAGCCAAAAGGCATATACAGCCTCCTGATGAGTCGGTGAAACTCCGACGAAACAGTTTGTCACAGCCCCTCGTTTGTTGTCCTCTTCTCTCTCTCTGCCTACGGTTTACCGGGCAGTTCTGTTTGTGACGATATATAAAGATACGTTGATCTGTGGGATGTGTTATTTGCTTTGTGATAATTGGATTATCTTTCTTTCCCTATCTTTCTTTCCCTGTCAGGTTTGGTTTCCTACTCCCCTTCTTTACCTCTTTGCCTTTTGGCTGCGTGCAAGTGGGTCCTTGTGACACACGGGGATGGGGGCAGCCAGCGCTCAACCTGTCATCCACGTGGCTGGCCTTGTACGTAAGAGGTTATGAACAGSTGGAGCTTTCCTTACCTCTTCCCCCTCCCCCTTTTTTCCTTTTCCTTTTTTCTTTCCCCTTTTTTGCGCTCTGATTCACAATGTGACAATATATATGTTGAGGGTTCAGCCTCCTGATGAGTCGGTGAAACTCCGACGAAACAGTTTGCCACAGCCCCTCGTTTGTTGTCCTCTTCTCTCTCTCTGCCTACGGTTTACCGGGCAGTTCTGTTTGTGACGATTCACAGCCCCTCGTTTGTTGTCCTCTTCTCTCTCTCTGCCTACGGTTTACCGGGCAGTTCTGTTTGTGACGATATACCTGATGAGTCGGTGAAACTCCGACGAAACAGTTTGTCACAGCCCCTCGTTTGTTGTCCTCTTCTCTCTGCCTACGGTTTACCGGGCAGTTCTGTTTGTGACGATATATATAGCATACTATGGACTGTTCTGGGACTGGCTGCATTGGTATTAGCCGCCGTCTTCCACCGAACACAACGCACCCTGGTCATGAATGTAAACGATCTATCTTTTCGGTGCGATACAGTCATAAGGAGGTTGCTCGTGTTCAGGGAAAGGCGGTAGGGGGGGGGGGGGGGGGGAGGAGGGAGCGGGAAAACAACGACAAAAAAAACTTGCTTGGAAGAAGAAGATCGGGGAGAGAGAGTCCGCTGCATCGTCCAGCGGAGATAGAGGTCCCTCGGCTGATGGAATAGTAATTGTATTGTTGCTTGTTGCTGTTCGCTCCCTTCTTCTTAGCGAGCTATGGCTCTCAGAGCTATGGCGAAAAGCTAGTATTTTAGATCCTTCAAAATACAGAGCAGAAAGAATGGAGGCGACCACAGCAGGGGGAGAGGCAGCGACAGCGTAGCAGGCCGGGGAGGAGGAAGAGAAAGGAGGAGGAAAAGGAGGAGGAGAAGGAGGTGGAAGAATGGAGGATGAGGAGGAGAGCGAAGGCAGACGAGTGGACGAGGACGAGAGATCGAGAGGATGATAGGAGAGGAGGAGAGGAGGAGAGGAGGAGAGGAGGAGAAAGAGAAATGTGGCGGAGGAGGAGGTTCTTGTGAGATGTTGACACCTGAAAGGAGTTTGAAGGAGGAGAGGAGGAGGAGGAGGAGGAGGAGGAGGAGGAGGAGGAGGAGGAAGAGGAAGAGGAGGAGGAAGAGGAGGAAGAGGAGGGAGAAGAGGAAGGGAGGAAGAGGAAGAGGAGGAGGAGGAGGAGGTTTTTGTGAGATGGTAAGACCTGAAACACAATCTCCAGCAGGAAATCGACAGCCCTTTTGGTATCCCCACTCCAGTGGGGCGGCTAATGAATAACGTGGAATATACCTGGGATCAAAGAGGAAGGTCAAGAGCAGGGGATCGACATATTTGAGGAAAGGAGTTAGATAATTGGCGACAATCAGGCTACCGTCGTCATCGAATACAACGCACCCTCATCATGACGGTATCGAACTGGAAAGATAGCCTGTATACATTCATGATCTGGGTGCGTGTGTTCGGTGGCCAACGGTATAGCTTTCGTGAGCACACACAGCATATGAGGCTACACACATCCTTTTTTCAGACAGACAATAACTACCTGGTAGTAGTTGGCTTTGATTTCACTCCCATTTCATTCTCATTTCATTCCCATTTCGTTTTCATTCCCATTTTCACTTTTATTTCATTCTCACTGCCATTCCATTTCACTCCCATTTCACTGTCATTTCGCTGTCATTGCATTATGATTTCATTGTGAGGTCATTGTGAGTTCCTTGTCACTCATTGTCTTTCATTTGTGATTTCATTGTGATTTCATCGTCAGGTATTTTTCCTTTTCACTCCCATACTTCCGCATTTCATTCAACTGTTATTTGTCTTTCTTGCACTCGTTATCTACTTCTTCGCTGCCTCTCCTTCGCCTGTCTTTGACTCTCTTTTGACTCTTACATCCCTGTCCTTCAACTCTCATTTGACTTTCATTTGATTCTCATTTGACTCTTGACTCTCATTTGACTTCCATTTGACTCCCAGTCGACTCTCATTTGGATCTCATTTCATTTTAATTCCATTTTTTACTTCCATTTTGACACTCGTTGACTGTCCTTTGACTCTCCGTTGGCTCTCAATTGACTTGCAGTTAACTCTCGTTCTGCTGCTGGCTGATTCATATGTTCTGAGTTGTGTCCTGGATGTTGACGGGTAGGCAGTTTCACAGGTAGGGGAATCAGCCCCGCCCGCCGCCACCCCCCGCCCCCCCCCCCCCCCCCCCCCCCCCCCCCCCCCCGGCCTGGCCTGTAAGAACAGCGTGACGCAGAACGTGTGGGTAAATCCCCTGCCGGTGCCTGCCTTCAGCTTCACCAATACCTGTATCTTTTCCCCTTTTTCTCCTTTTTCTTTGCTGTTCTCTTGATGCCAGCGTAGTTCTTAGAGGCCATGTCGGGCCAGAACGAGTCCCCCGGGCTACGTGGGTGTGTGTTTCGGCCGGAGGCCGCGGCCAGCCTGCCTCAGCAAGTGGTCTTGCCTACTATGTGCTCGTCCCTTCCATGCAGGCCATGCCATATGGAAGGTCCATCCATCTTGCCACAACGAAGATCCATCCATGTTGCCATGCAGGCCTGCATGGCCGTGCCACTGGCATAACATATAATAAGCAAGGCAACATGGATGGATCTTCGTTGTGTGGCATGCATCGAACATTAGTGCAGAGTTGCTGCACAATTCGAAGAAAACGGCACAGCTAACCATACAGCATAACTCCACAGATAATTGCAGTTTTGATCTATATATATATATGTATACACAGGCAAAATACAAGGCAACATGGATGGAGGATTGTTATGTGGATGAACATTAGTTCCGCTGCTGTCCTTGGATGAATCTACAGTTTATCTTACGGTTGATATCACAGTTCGTGTTACAGTTTATCTTACAGTTTATCTTCAGTTTATATCACAGTTCGTCTTACAGTTCCTCTTACAGTTTATCTTCAGTTTATATCACAGTTCGTCTTACAGTTCCTCTTACAGTTCATCTTACAGTTCATCTTACAGTTTATCTTACAGTTTATCTTACAGTTTATCTTACAGTTTATCTTACAGTTTATGTTGGCAGCAGGTACGTGCACAAGTTACTGCATAGGTAACTGCAATAAAGTACAGGCAAAATGGAGCTTACCATCCGGAGTCTTCAAAGCGGGCTAGGGTTATACTGTTCACCAAATGGAACTGTGACTCAATGAAAACTGCACTGCACAGGTAACTGCAACGATAACTGCAGTTTTTATCCAAGTACAGGCAAAATGAAAGGCAACATGGATGGAGCTTTGTTGTTTGGATGAACATTACTTTCGTTGCTGTACTTAGATAAATCTACCGTTTATCATCTTACAGTTTATCTTCCAGTCTACCGTTTATCTTACATTTCAAGTCCACCGTTTATCTTACAGTTAATCGTGCAGTTTATCTCACAGTTTATCTTACAGTTTTATCTCACAGTTTTATCTTCACAGCAGGGACTGATCGTGCAGTTTATCTCACAGTTTGTATCCCAGTTCATCTTACAGTTTATCTTCACAGCAGGTACTGCACAGGTAAAGTGCACAGGCAAGTGCACAGGTAAGTGCACAGGTAAAAACTACCGAGGTACGAATAACCGTGTACAGGTAACTGCAGTAAAGTACAGGCAAAACGGAGCTTACCATCCAGAGTCTTCGAAGAGTGCTAAGGTTATAGTGTTCACCAAGTGGAATTGTGACTCTGTGAAAGGAACCTGTGAACAAGGAAGCAAACAAGGATGGGCAAATCCAAGGCACGAATAGCCGTGTCATTTTGAAGCAAACAAGGATGGGCAAATCCAAGGCACAAATAGCCGTGTCATTCTGAAGGCGCTTCTTCCTTCCCCTTCCTGAAATGCACAGAAAGATGTGGAACAGTGGATGCCAGCAACGCAGCATGGAGCCCATGCCTGGTACGATGCATTTACAAAAGATCCTGAAATGGTCCAAATTGATAGGGTGCGTAACTCCTTGACTCGTCGACTCCTTGTACAATAAAGGTGGACCCATAATCCCGGGGGCGAGTGAATCGTATTTTGGTAAAGTGGGTGTTTTTTAGGGTTAGCGCTGCTGGACTCATGAATTCAGTCGATCGCGCCTGCCCTACCTGCAGCCCAGTTGGCGCCCAACACCGGGACTTGCACCTGCGGTACCTGCTCTGGACGGTCTGTGCCGCCATCGTGACGACTTGCAGCTTCAGCAGCCAGTAGACTGTCGCTGCACGGGCTGCCTCGGCGCGACAAGCAGTTTTCAGCAAGTATCATCAGTCTGCACTCCGCGCCCAGAAAGGTGTCACTGCTATTGGCCAGTGGACAGCTGTTGCTGAGCTGCGATGGGAGGGTATCAAGACGTGGGGGTGGGGTGGGCATGGGCAGTTTTCTACTGAGCCCAGCCAGCCCTTCCTTAGATGCAAAGACTCTTCAAAACCCTTTTTTGAGAAATTTTGACCCCTCTGGAGTGAGAACTACTCTTGTAAACACCCTCCTCGACTCCCCTTGAGTATTCACTACAAAGCCATGACCATGGATGCCCTGTTTGTTGGCAGATCTGCTGCGCATCAGTGGGCTAGTGTTGCAAGTCTGAGCAAAATCGCCTCCGCCTGGTCCTTGAACAATGCCGCGGCAACAACCTTAGCACGCTTCGGATCACCATTGGCAGCCAACTGCTCGTACGGAAAGTTGCTCAGCAGGGAGGGCCGCAATCGTGCCCGTAGTACGAGGAAAACAGACCTGTTGTTCTCTGCCAGCGGAGTGCGGAGGGGAGTCAGATTGTTCGCAGCTATGGCGTCCCGGGATGCGTCTGCAGGAGCAGGCGCTGTCGGTGTTGCAGCTGGCAATGAAGATGCGCTGCAGTTCGCCAAAATCGACAACCGCCGGTTTCTTCATGTGGTTTACCGAGTTGGAGATCTTGAAAATACAGTGAAGTTCTATACAGAGTGCTTGGGGATGAAGGTGCTCAGAGAGAGGGATGTTCCTCAGGAAAAGTACAAGAATGTCTTTCTTGGGTTTGGCCCCGAAGAAACGAACTTCGCAGTTGAGTTGACGTACAATTATGGCGTGGACAAGTACGATATCGGCGAGGGGTTCGGACACTTTGGGATATCCGTGGAGGACGTGCACAAGGTCGTGGACTTGGTGAAGCAGAAGGGAGGCAAGGTGACAAGAGAGCCCGGGCCTGTGAAAGGCGGAAAGTCGGTCATCGCGTTCGTGGAAGACCCCAGTGGCTACAAATTCGAGCTCATCCAGCGCCCCAAGACGCCTGAACCACTTTGTCAGGTTATGCTCAGGGTGGGCGACTTGGACAGATCCATCGCCTTTTATGAGAACGCGTTGGGGATGAAACTTCTGAGAAAGCGCGATAATCCAGATTATAAGTACACGATTGCAATGATGGGCTATGGACCTGAGGAAAGCAGTACCGTTCTGGAGCTGACATACAACTACGGTGTCGCAGCCTACAGCAAGGGCAATGCGTACGCACAGATTGCCCTGGGTACTGACGATGTCTACAAGACGGCAGAAGCAGTAAGAAACCATGGCGGAAAGATTACGAGGGAGCCGGGGCCTATTCCAGGAATCAACACGAAAATCTTCGCCTTTCTGGATCCTGACGGCTGGAAGACTGTTTTTGTCGATAACGAAGATTTCCTCAAGGAGTTAGCGTAGGTAGGGAACGGGTTATCATTTTCAGAAGGGGTTTTCGAATCCGGTCTATAATAGATACTGGGCCTCGCCACACCACTGTCGAAACGGAAAATGCAGGAGTGCATCTTCCTCAGGAAATGGAGAGAGGCATCCATTACTATTCATAGTGTACCGGATGCATCTTGCCGCTCTTCACACTGTCAGGTACATGCACTGGTACTGTTTTTGAAATGCAGGAGCGCATCTTCCTCACAAAATGGAGAGAAGCATCCATTACTATTCATAGTGTACCGGAAGCATCTTGCCGCTCTTCGCAGTTACATGCACCGGTACTTTTTTTGTTTGTACTGGTGTGGCGAGGCCCAGTGTCGGCTGTGAACAGAACTGGGGTGCGTGCAGACATCTCGGAGACGAGGGGTATTACAGGACAACACTGTTTTTGCCGACACGAAAGATTCCCTCAAGGAGTTAGAAATATAAAGAGGGCATGGTTTTCAGAAGCCGCATCCAATACTATTCAATGTATTCATGGTGTACTGGATGCATCTTGCCGCTCTTCGCAGGTACATGCACCGGTACTTTTTTTGTTTGTTTGTACTGGTGGGGCGAGGCCCAGTGTCGGCGGTGAACAGAGCTGGGTTGTGTGCAGACATCTCGGAGACGACGGGTATTACAGGACAACACTGTTTTTGCCGATACGAAAGATTCCCTCAAGGAGTTAGAATACTGAAGAGGGCATGGTTTTCAGAAGCCATCTTCGAAACCGGTCTTTATAGTGGCAGCTCTGAACACCACCGAGGTGCGTGCAGACATCTCGGAGACAGGTGATTATGGGAATTTACGGCGGGACACCCCCAATCAGGATGGGCTGAGAATTCCTTTCTGTTCACTGGTATGGGGATGTTAGCACACGCATTACAGGGCTTGCCAACGACACTCCTGTGCGGGTAGTTGTTCATCTGTGGTCATATCTGACAGGCAATGACAGGGTGCAGGACGTACATGCGGATGATCAGTTTCGTTCGGCAATCCCACCCCATAATTTGATACCTTTTTTTTTTTTTTTTTTTTTTTTTTTTTTTTTTTTTTTTT